AGTGTGATGACTTCATTTTAGATCACCTCAAACAATGGAGTAAACACAGTAGCTGTCTTATTCTAGGTGATTTTAATGCACCTCATATAGACTGGGTAGCTGTCACATCTCCAGGATCCGCTGATAAGTTTGACAGCCGGTTACTCTTGACAACCATGGAAAATGCCCTGACACAACATGTCTTAGGTAGTACAAGATTCGGTTCTACCCAAGGATCTTCCTTGCTGGACTTAGTGCTTACTCATGACAACGACGACGTGGATGGTCTAGTTATTCATCCACCTCTAGCAAACAGTGATCATGGGGTGTTAGATTTTAACTTAAGGGCTGGCAATTTAGTCAGTTTTCAACCCAAATCCCGGCCTAGTGTTTGGCATGCTGACATAGTGGCTATAAAGGAGCGTGCTTCAACTGCCGACTGGTCAGTCAACATTGTCTCATCCATTGAAGATGAATGGGATAGATTTAAGAATACACTTGAGAGGGTTACCACTGATCTCATCCCCTGGAGGGTTCCTAAAAGGCCAACAAATCGGCCACCATGGATAAATAGACAAGCTATAACACTCCTGAGACGGAGAAAAAGGTTCTGGAATCTCTTTGTTTCTACTGGGCTACAGCAGTTCCGGCTGAAATACTGTGAAACCAGAAACCAGTGTAAAACTTTGATCCACCAGTCAAGGATAGCTTACGAAACCCAGTTAGTTAAAAGTTCACCAGGCTGCCCAAAAAGACTCTTCTCATATATCAAGAGAAGAACACGTAAGAGTGATGCTATCCCACCTCTTATGCTTGAAGATGACCAGACAAACATGGCTGAGGATAACTTGACTAAGGCTGAGGCTTTGTCCAAGCACTTTAGTCAAGTATTCTCTGATAATATTGATACCAGCTTTGTAAATTTTCCAGAAGGTAACTTGAAAATGGCACCCTTATACATTGGAAAGGATACTGTCCTAAAGTGGCTTCTAAGGCTCAATCCTGGTAAGTCCAGTGGCCCTGATGAACTCCACCCACGTATATTAACAGCATTGGCTGAAAGCATAGCCGAGCCATTGTCGGTAATCTTCAATATGTCTCTGGACCAGTCTAAATGTCCAAGAGACTGGAAAGATGCCATCATTAGTCCGGTCTTCAAAACCGGATCTAGAAACTTAGTTCAGAACTATCGTCCTGTTAGTTTGACCAGTATTGTTGTTAAACTACTAGAAAGAATAATTCGTGATGCTATCATTCAGTTCATTGAAGGGAACAAACTTTTCGCTGTGGAACAGCACGGTTTTAGAGCAGGTCATTCTTGCTTGACCAACCTTCTTTTGGCCAGAGAAAGTTGGGCAAGCTCAGCTGATGCTAATATACCGGTGGATGCCATATTCATAGACCTTAGCAAGGCGTTTGACAGGGTTTCTCATTCAGGTCTTCTAGTAAAGTTAGGTAGTCTGGGAATCAATAAAGTGGTTACCGACTGGATTCAAGACTTTCTAAAGGACAGAAGACAAAGAGTACGAGTTAACGGGGTTTTATCAACATGGGAATCGGTTAAGAGTGGCGTTCCTCAGGGTACAATTCTAGGCCCACTTCTTTTCCTGATTTATGTTAATGAGATTCCATCGGTAGTTAAGTCATCCTGCTTACTGTTTGCTGATGACATCAAGATATGGAGGGCTTTGCACGATGACAGTGATCAACTTGCTTTGCAGGAAGATTTAAACTTGTTAAGTGATTGGTGTAAGCACTGGGCCTTGGAGATTAACTTAAGCAAGAGTGTAGTTATGCATGTATCCCATAGTCACGTGCACAATTACTCAATGAATGGCATTACTCTCCCAGTGGTCACTGAGTACAAGGACTTGGGAGTGGTTGTGCAGCATGACTTGAAAACAGCAACAAACTGTAGAACTGCAGCCACTAAGGGTTTTAGAATATGAGATTTAGGCAGCGAGCCCGTGTTTCAAATACGAAATAGACTTATTAGAAAGGGTGCAAAGAGTAGGAACTAAGCTAATAAAGGGTTTTTCAACCCTGTCATATGAGGAGAGGTTAAGTCGACTGGGTTTATTTCCACTGTCATACAGACGACTTAGGGGTGACCTAATACTAGCATACCGTATCCTAAGAAATGATTTTGGAGCTAATTTATCTAAATTATTTCTTCCTTCTAGCACCAACCAATTGCGAGGACATTACCTCAAGGTTCAAAAATCACGGTTGAATCGTCTGCGTCTGGAAATCCGTTTTTCGCATCGAATTGTGAACCATTGGAACTCCCTACCGGAACACGTCGTATCAGCGCCATCCGTTGATTCATTCAAGGCGAGATTGGACTCCTGTATGCAATAAATCGAAAGGATTAACACAGGCATATAGCCTACTATCCTAAATAAGTTGTAAACTGTACCGATATCCATGCTGAAAATTCCAAACCTGTACCTAAAATACGGTGTGGAATCAAGCTGCAATCAAAAATAAAAAAAATAAAAAAGTGCTCTTACCCTGTCTATATGAAAATTGTTTGAGGTTTTTAAAAGTTTTAAGATAGGGTTCAAGTTTAAAAAGTACTAGTTATTCCCTCAGCTTTAGAAACGGGGAATTAATGACAAAGGGTCGGAATTTTACATTCTTGGTATTTCCTAGGTTTAGGGACAGAGTCTATTTTAATGTCTTTGCATGAAACAGGTACAACGTTTTTGGCGAAAGAAACGTTTAGGATGTTAGTAAGTGGAGAACATAAAGCATCTGCACATTGTATTAGAACATAAGGAGGTACACCATCAGTGCCAAGGCTACGTGAATGCTTAAGCGTTTTAAGACATTTTAGAACATGAAGAGTATTAAAGTCATGAAAGTTATCAGCTGCATGATTTGTAACACAGGAAGTACTTATGGTAGATGTTTTCGCTCCTCTTTGGCTAACACTTATGTCAGGGTTGCCCCTAATGTCATATGTCTTGTCTCATATAGCTTTGACTAGGCACTATTTTGGACTTCGATATAAGGTTCCACGGTATTTAAGTGTATACAGACCTAGCTTTCGAAATCGGTCATCGTTTCAGTCCAATGACAACTTTTGCAGTCCTTCTTTTTACTCTCTCTAAGAGACTAGAGCCTAGTTTCCGGAATAGTGGTGCAGTGATGTTGTGGATTTCGAAATATATACTGTATATAACTGCGTGTAAAGTTAGAGGTTGTCAGTACTCCTAGCATCCGACGCACAAAGGAGATTTCTGTTATGGCTTTTACTGCTTTTATGCATACTTAGCGCTTATTCATCTTGGGTGAACCAATGTCCCACTGTGTCTATGTACGAGAGATGTCAATTACACGTAAGCGGGACGCGAATCATTTTTGTTGGTGCACGGATGATTATCAACCGACAATTATTCGAACTGAAAGCTAATCCGCTTTCCATGGCCAAATTCTCTACGCTGATCAAGTTTTTCTACACCTTGGTCAATTCGTTTCTCACAGAATTCCACAGTCTTCCATCATTTGTGTAGAGAATCGTCAGGGATGTTAAGCTACTCAGGTGGTCGCTCATAAGATTCAGGAATAACAATAGACCAAGTATGGCCTCCTGTTATACCTCAGTGCTCTCATCCTTCTCCACTTACACTTACAGAGCACTCGGTTCACATTCCTGCGAAATCACCTCCCCTCCAGGTAGGCTTCGATTGAAAATATCAATGGGATACCGACTAAAATTTCAGAGGTTTCCTTCAGTACAAAATCGAGTCGGAGGTGTATTATACACAACACAAGACACGGACTGGAATACTCTGGTTCCTCCCACGCGCTATTGATTTAATTCAACCTGCCTACAGATTGGACTGCTCTTTAATTAATTTATGTTAAGCTTCGTGCACACAGTTACTTGTGTTCGGATGTTCGTTGTCTTAACCGCCTAGCAGGCCGGCCTGCCAACATCTCAGAGATTGTTGGCAGTAAGGCTACGTGTCTTTGATAACTTAGTTAAACAAGACACTTTCATCTTCTAATGTTAAACAATATGTCTTTTATTTTAGTGAAAAAACAAAAACGAAAAAAATTAACATGAAAACTCAGAAAAGTATTACGACAGTAAGGTTTTACTAAATATTATTACTATTATTATTATTAATAGTATTAATAACGATACTTATGGCAATCACCTCAAAAATATAAATAAATAAATAAAAATAAATCAATATCTATCACAATACACATACGGTTGGAATAGACTACAACTGTCGTCTAGCAATTGTTACCGCGCCAAAATTAGGGATTCTTTGTATATGTAATAGCAGTTGTATTATTATAAATATATTTTAAAAAAAGAATGCCAGACAAAAATGGATTACACATGAGAAAAGGAGAGGGAGGGGGAAAGTTATAAAAAAGTGTGAAGCCAGTAGTGTTGATTGGGGGGGGGTGGCGAGTTGAAGGGGTATTTTTGAGATATGATCAACTGTACATAATTCACTCCTTTTTTGTTTTAATTCTTTTCCATTTTTCTATTAATTTTTATTTTAGAAAAATAAATAAACAGAGCGTAATTCGAGACTACACACAACCAAGAATAACAAACAACATGGCTGAAAAGATTTATCAGAATAAAAATTTGCACAACAGTATAAAGATAATTATGTATGTGTATACCCTTATGAGGATAATGACCAGTGTGGTAGAGAAACGGGCGAGAACAAATTGGTTGGTAAAAAATGGTATTTATATTCTCACCAAGGAAAGGGGTGTCAAACACACAGAGAGAGAGAGAAAGATAGAAGACAGCGTTGCACAAAATGAACGTTAGTCAACCCCTCGAACACAAATCATGATTATTTATTGCATAATTCAAATTTGAAGTTCACTGCACACACGCATATATTGGTTATATTTTAGAAGAAAAGAAACTGTAGACTTTGTATTATTAGTAGTAATAGTGATAATAGTAATAATCTGAAAATAGGAAAAAGGCGCAGGGATCCATGGATGAGTAAAACGAAAGTGCCACACTGTGTGATTCACTCCCAATTCTCCCAATCGTCAGCCTAAAATGAAATGTATGCACAAACACACACAATAAACAATTATGCAGGCAAGGTGGGGGAAGGGAATTTGATATTCTAAAAATAAAACAAAAAATTAGTTGTTGCACATTCAAAACTGAATGAAATATATTCCCACACTTAACTCTGTTTTCATTGATATAAAAATAAAACTTGTGCACTGTGTGTGGTAGAGTGTAATTCCATTATGGGTAAATTTTGTCTTGATAAAGTCTCACAGTGTTATACAGTAATGTTTACTGATGACCACAATTTATCGCCGCTCATAATCATATCAAGATAATCGAGACGACTACCTAACTTCATTTATATAGTTCCATTGTTTTTCACTTGATTTGATTGGCAATAGTATTTTCCATATTTCGAGAAAGAGTGATGAATTATTCCTATTGCATGTGTTTACTGTAGACTCGATGAACCAGCCAGGATTCAGAAATCAACCTCTCTCTCCACCTACCTAGATTACTTTTTAGAATTTTAACCCTCTCCCACAATGCCATTGTGTGGTTGTGTGTTAATGCATGCATTGCAATTGCTGAGCTTTTTCCTAAATTACTTATCTTCTCGGGGTCAACCATTCTTACCTTAGCTAAATTCTTATGTTCTGACAGACAATCTGACTACTCCTGACCTACTAGTTTGACCTATGTAGTTGACTTCACAGTCATTGCAGGGTATTTTGTAAATTATATTATTTTGTCTAATTGGGTCAACTGGGTCCTTCAACCTACAGAGCTTGTCCTACCTGGGTGAGTTTGTAGGTTTAAATGCCACCTTAATTCCTGGCGTATTCAGAATCCCGCGTAGGGTCTCAGATGTCCCCTCCTTATATGGTATAACAGTAGATGACTTATATTCTCTCTGATTTAAGCTATCATTACTATAATCCATAATTATTTTTATTTTGCTTTTGGCCTTTACTGATCTTCCTAATGAATTTTATAGGATAGTTAGTTATTCGATAGCAATGCTTCTTCTATCCGTTTTATTTCATCATTTAGGTCTTTTCTTGTGCTTTTTAGTGCTACTGCTGGGTTTGTTAGACACTTAACGAGGCCTGCCTTAACAGTTAACGCATGAGATGAATTAAAGTCTAAATATCTATTAGCAGAATGCGTCGGTTTTTTATAAACACTAGTGTGCAGTTTACCTTCTTCTATTCGTTTAATTTTACAATCTAACATAGCTAATTCAGTAAACATTACTGTAAAACACTGTGAGACTTTATCAAAATATACCCATAATGGTATAACACTATTTTTCTCTCCCTTTCAATAAAACACCCAGGAGTCTATTCCGTGGAACAAGAGGCAAAACGTGTATCAGGACTCAATATCACTGATGATAATTAAATTTTGTTTGTGAGGGGTTGACCCAAGCTATCTGACCTCTGCCACTGTACCATATACACACTTACTGAGCTCACACTCTGCTTTTCTTCCTGGCGTGACTACTGCTCTAGGAGAGGTGACTACTGATTAGAAATCAGAAAAAGCCGGGCAGAAGTTGGGATGATGTACATATAATCAATATCAGCAAATGACTAATCAAAATAATTGTGTAGAGTGATAATAATAATAGTTATTATTATTATTGTTCCCTTGGGTTCCTAGTGGAACAAAGGGCTTCAACTGAACGTCTTCACTTGCTTCTGCTGCACTTTTCACAAGCATCCATGTTAGTCCATACTAATCCAACTCCTCTTCACACGGTTTCCTCCATGCAATGACGTCACACTCGCCACGTGCTTCCCTTTCGGCCTGGTTCCAATTGAGCAATGGCCTGACGAGCGTGCATTTCACCCAGCGGTGGCCTCCTCAGAGAGTGTCCAATCCATCTCGACTTTCTCCTGCATATCTGTTGGACGATTGTTTTATTCTTGCTGTTTGTTTCTGCCCCTAAGTTCTTGTTGGTGATTCTTTCCGGACCGGCCGTCTGATTTTCAGTATAGAGCGAAGATAGTTAGCTGTTGATAAAGGTCTGCAATAACCTGTTGGAAATATTCTTTGTGACCCACCCGCCACCTTTCTGATCCGTATAGAAGAACTGACTGACTTGACGCTGTTTGTATTGAAATTCCGACTGAACTTTTTCGTTGATTCTGGCTGAGTGACGAAGATTTCCAGATTGGATTCAGGTTGATGAATGTGTTTCTCGCCTTCCAGATTCTCGTTCGATTTGACATCCTCGTCCGTTCCGACTTCCTGTAGTTGAGATAATGCTCCCTCCCTAGATAAGTGAATGAAGTAAACTCTTTCAAATCCCTACCGTTGATGGTGATTGGCACTGGATGTTGCTGTTGTTGTTGGTTGGTTATTTTCATAACCTCCGTCTTATATATGTTCACCTGGAGTCCTGTCTTCTCCGGCTGCTTCTTCGACCAGTTTGTCCGTTTTCGCTTGCCTCTAGGTCTTCGATTTTGTATGACATCAAACATAAAATCATCCACAAGAGAAATCCAGGTCTTCTAGGTTATCACGTTGGTCCAGGATATTCCTGTCTTCTCGTTTCCCACTGTCTGACGCATAATCGAATCCACCACAATTAAGGAATATCATCCTTGGTGATAATAAGTCAACACCCTTGTCTGACTCCTGTGTTTACTCCAAACGCCTCGCTGAGTTTTCTGTTTTGGATCACTTGACATGTGCCGTTGTCGTACAGCTGTTGAATAAGGTGGATGAATATTTGGAGTACGCCGTAGTACTCGAGTACTTTCAAAACAACGCTGTCGAAGGCCTTTTCAAAGTCTATAAAGTTGAGGTAGAGGTTTGATTGCCATTCCATACTTTGTTCGATGATGATAATGTGTAGAGTCGCAATTTGGTCAGAACATGATTTGCCTGACTTTCCTGAATCCAGCTTGTTCTGATCGGAGTTCTGTATCCAGTGTGTCCTTTATTCTCTCCAGGATGATGCGACTCAGGATTTTACTTGGCGTCGACAGGAGCATGATTCCTCGCCAGTTCTTGCAGAGTGAGGCATAAGTCGCCTTTCTTTGGTAGTTTCACGAGGTAACCTTTCCTCTAGTCAACAGGCACCTTTCCCTCCTTCCAGACCTTTTGCAATAATGGAGTCAGAATATCTGCTGTCGTCTATGGGTCCGCTTTCAGTGCTTCAGGGAATATTCCATCTGCTCCAGCTGCTTTTCCAGCTTTCAGAAGCTTGAATGCATTCAAAACTTCAGCTTTCGTTGGAGGATTGGTGTCGACTTGCAGTTGTGTACGTGTTGTTGTTGGTATTTTTTGAAGTGGGTTGCAGGTGGTGGTCGGTTCAAGAGTCCTTTGAAGTGATCCAACCATTGTTCAATCTGTTTTTCTTCCTTGGTAATTGGGTTCGCTTGGCTGTCTTTTATAGGTTTCGCTTGTGTTGATCTTTTCCCGGATAGAGACTCGGTCATCTGATATAATGTCCTCAGGTCCCTTTCGCCTGGTTCCTTCTCAGCTTCAGTGGCCAGATTGTCGTAGAGTCGTCTTTTGTCCTTCCTAGCACTCCTCTTCACTTCTTTGTCCAGTGCTGTGTATGTTGAACTCAAGGTCTCCTTCTCTTGTCCGTCTTTGCATTGAATCACTTGTTCTTTCACATGTGTAGCTACCTGGCAATCCCTGGGCTATCTATATTTACAACTTTGTCAATCATACGAATGATTTCGTTAATTCTTTCGATTGGGATTCGCACAAATTCCATCGAAAGTTTCTAGAGTCACCTAAAAATAAAGAGGGTCGGAGCGGTGAATCAGCCAAGAGACACAATGATACTACAGTCGCCTTGACGAATTTACGCATCGAAATTGTCACCACGTAACTATGAGAACTGCTTTGACAAAGCCGGAAGCTTTTCTCCGAGCACATACAAGGAAATTTATTCTATGTAACTACCGTTTAACGCTGTATTACTTATATGCCATATATAAACGTCTCTTTTTCAAATTACGCACTTCTGCTTCAGACGTGTCTGATTGGTCGATAGGAGACTTGTCAAGGTTTTTATTGGGTGGTTTCGTTTTACGCTGCGATAGAGATTAGAGGCATCTAAATAATAATAATAAGGCAATGTGTAAGTGGCAAAGTTCAACAATAGCGTCCCAGGAGTGTGAACGCTCCAATGACCTTGAACGCATGCCAGTCGCTGGCCAACGGCATCTGTCATTATCATAGCTGAAATATCAACGCTATTCACCAACTTAGGAGCAAATTTCATCCAGATCACGTTTTTAAGTACTGTTTGGACAATGTGTTAATAGCTCGTTAGGGTTAGGATTAGGGTTAAGGTAAGTAATAGGATTAGGGTTATGATTAAGGTTAGGTTTAGTGTTTGCGTCAGGATTAAGCTTATGGTTACGATTAGGGATAGATTTATAGTTGATGTCATTTATTTTTATTTGTTTTATTATCCACGTTTCCCTGCTAATCAGTCGTCTATCCTCTTCCTGGAAACCATAATAATTCAACCGCGGTCTTTTTTGGAAGATTGCAAGCAGGATGAGGGAGATAAACGATTCACAAAAACAGTTTATCTGTAGTCATCTTGGTGAATACATGTACAGAAACTAGTCTAACTTCGCAACTGTTACTCCTCGTTACAACTAGGATGTATTTTTAAGCCATGTCAGAGAAAGATAACCTGTTTAATGCGTTTTCAAGCATTTTCTTGTCATTATACAGCATTTTTTGAGCAAATATTCTTCCATTTTATGATTGGTCAGTTGAAGGCCACTCGTGCATTCGCACTTCTGGGACGCTATTTTTGAACTTTGACATGTAAGTCAAAGATCTTCATCATCATGTCAGCATCCGAGAAGACGTACTACTTTTTTTCATGGGGAGGGGATTGGGAAATAGAACAGACTTAGAAAAAACTATGGGTACATACTTAGGCCAGAACATTATGACAGTTAGTCGGGTTGAGCAACACAATCAGGTGGATGTCTGCATACCTGTGCTAATACGCATAGCATACATCACGCTGATCGTATAAATCCATTCAGGTAGGTGGTGGTGGTGGTGCCTAGTTTCTCTCATGACAGTATTCTCTACTATCTACACCAGTAACCTATAGCTTCAATAGAATTGGTAGAAGTTAGAATTCATCCACTGGCCATTGAATCGGGTCCCAGTGAGTGGCAGAATGGTATACGAGCTAACTTCTGTTGTAACTGGAAGGTCCTGGGTTCCAACCCCATGGTGTGGGTGCGTACTGCCGATAACTCCCAAAGTGGGCTGATAAAACAGGTTTTCAATGGTTCTCTAACTGATATCAATCCGTGATCAACTCGTAAAAAACAAAACTAATCCTTAAAAGCCAAACTATAGAAAATTCAATAGAACAATTAGATCCAAACATAAACTAAAATATTGTCGAGAAATTAGTCCATAGAGATTCGATTAGGTTGCAGTTCGATCACGGCGATTGGCAACTACAGCTACAGAGGAGTACTGGACAGTTATTCCGCCCTGTTTTCCCGGGACTCTCCACAGCCGTACACACACACACAACTCTACCGGGGACAGAACTGAGAGCTTAGTCGGAGTATTAGTAAAGATATTAACTGAATCAGTTAAATTTGGTTGTAAAGTAGATGCTTACAGTTTCCTTGGTTGGAGCCTTAGCTGCACTTGTGGTTTTGTTTTTATCATTATCAGTTGAATGATCAATATCGTCGACTTCATTTTCAGAATCATCATCATCACCCCAAACACCATCTGAAATGAAAATTGAAGAAAACCAAATTGTGACTAACTAAAAAAAACTATGTACTACTAAATCTCAAAACTAAACAGTCCTAGAAATATTAGGAAGGCGTAGTTATTTTTGAACAAAGTAAGAACTACAGTGGTTTTTGCAGAATAAAGTGGTACCATCAGTGTTTATTTCGTTGCCTTCTCGTCAGCTGCTTACCTGGCAAAGATATTATTAAATATACCTACAAAAACAATTTTCAGATACTTGCACAGAGTTCATTTTAAACAAAAATCAATCGACCAATATGCACATACAGTAATAATATATATAATATTGAACACTATATCTTTCTCACGTTAACTCCAACCGTACAAATTTACATGTATCTCCGGGAGAAGTTACATTGGAAGGACAGAAAAAAAGGTATATCTATGATTTTCTGAACATGTACCAAAAAGCTTATGTCTACAGCTGGGAACAAATGCTTTAAACAGTGCCATCCATCTCCTTCACACGCGTCGGTCATGACGTGGACGTCGCGATCGAAAGGTCGTTCAAAATTATCAATAGGCAAAAGAGTTCAATTCTCGTCAAGTTTGCTGAAGCTATACATTCCCATCAAGCACCTGAAACCTGATTTATGCGTCCAGAAAGAAGCGGTTATCAGTCGATGTTTGCCCTGCCTGGTAACTGGATATTTTTATCTCTCTTACATCTGAATGCGTAATACCGAAAAGTTTTCATTGTGTATGATTATTACTGTCGTTCGGAATAGTGTTTAATATTACATACATATATGTATATATAATTACTGTATGCATATGTATTATCGATTGATTTTTTGTTTGAAATGAACTCTGTGCAAGTATGTTAAAATTGTTTTTGTAGATATATTTAATAATGTCTTTGCTCTGTAAGCAGCTGATGAGAATGCAACGAAATAAACACTGATGCTACCACTTTACTCTGCAAAAACCACTGTAGCTCTTGCTTTGTTCAGATTTACCTAAAAGGAGAATAAATGTATGATGTAGTTATTTTCTATGCTTAATAGTTACACAAATCGAATGGATTACATGATTCTTGGTAAAAAAGAAAGCAATAATGATAATAAAAACAAGTATAAATAGTGAATATTCTTCAAATAGAAAAAAAGACTCTTACATAAATCTTCATCCATTCACGAATATGGCCCAACCAAAGTAAAAAACGTATTCTGCGAACACTACAACTATTACAACACTACTATGCACTTTTCACTCGACTTCAAAGATTTATTATTATTATTCCCTTGGGTTCCGAGTGGAGCCTATGACTTTAACAACACAACTACTCCACAACTTCTTCTGTTCTCTGCTGTCCTCTTCAGCTGGCCTGACTTACCATTCCCCATAATCTCTCACCTCCTCCATGTCACAATGGCACGGACCACCCACTGGTCCGCCGCTTTCCATTGGGATTCCACTCGACCGATGGGATGAATTTGGTGGAATGTCAGTCGAAGACCTCTCTCGTCAGCGTGTGCCATATCAATCCACCTCCACCTTCTCCTACATATTTGTGGCGCAATCAGACCGCTCTTGGTTGGTTGGCCATTTGATCTTCAGTATGGAGTTAGCCAGCCAGTCATCGAAGGTGGCGGCTATTGATGAAAGTCTGCAGTGATCTGTTGGAAATCTTTTTCGTGATGTAAGCACAGACAGTGATTCTGACTCATATAGAAGCACTCACTGACTGACTGACTGACTGACTTCACTGCCATTTGTGTTGGAAATGCGAATCTTGTTGTTTATGCTAACTGAGGCGGAGTGAAGCAGAGGATTTGCAAAGTGGTTTCAGGTTGATGAAGGTGTATCTAGCCTTTTTGATTCTGACTGGATTTGACATGTTGATCCGCTCCAACTGCCTGTGGTTGAAACGATGCTGGCTGCCAAGGTAAGATAAGTGCAGGTAGTCAGTAACTAACCTCTTTCAAATTTTTTCTCTCACTGATGGTGATTAGTGCTGGTTGGTCATCTTCATCACCTCCGTATCGACCTTCTCTATGTTCATTACCTGGGTGGAGCCAGTCCTGTCTTCGCTGCCATCTAGTCAGCCAGACTCTTCAGTCAGTTTGTTGCCAGTTTTCGTCTGCCACTAAGTCTTCGAGTTTGTGTGAGATTTAATGGCATAATTTAGCCACACGCGAAATTAGGAATATCATCTTTGACGATAACAGACAGCCAGCTAGCCTTGTCTTACTCCTGTATTCATTTGGAATACCTAGCTGAGCTTTTCCCTTGTAGATCATCTTACATATGGCACTGTCATATATGGCCAACCAGCTGTTGAATGAGGTCGATAAAGACTTGGGCACCACACTGTACGCCGAAGTGTTGAAGTAGTGGCCAAATTACTTGTCGATCAACGCTTGTTTCCGTGGGGCTGGAAGAGTTTTGCATTCAGTACATCCCCCCTCTCTCTCTCTAGGATGACGCGATTTAGTATTTTACTTGGCGTGGGTAGAGAAGATCATTATCCCACGCCACTGTGTGAAGTTACCTCTAAAAACTGGAGCTGTGTGTACAAAACAAAACTGTTCAACCTCTACATTTGCCATGTTTCTAGTTCGGTTTGTCTCCTTTGGTTCCGGTTTTTGCATCCATTGCGTTCCCCCTTTTTTCAGTTGTAAAACATTATTCTCTCAACTTGGCTTCATGCTCATCTCAGGCACACCTTTAGTCATCAAATAACTAAATATCTAATCCTGTATGATTTTGTTACCAAGCGCTTTTATAATCTATTTTCACAACTTCAAACTTTCGTATCAAGTTGACATTTATTCTGACCATTTAATTTCACCCCTTCGTTACCTACCTGGAATTAAATAAATAATAATTGTATCTATGCAAACTTATGTGTATATAAATGCGATTGCACAGCTATTTTTCTTTTCACAATTAAATCGCCCACCCCCTTTGCATAAATTCTTGTTCGCCTCTCACCAAATATAAACACCGAATAACTAACTAACTAACTCACCAGAATCAGAAGTCTTCTCTTCAGACAAAAGAATGTCAGACGTGTTCGTAGTCATAGTTTTTGGTTGAATCCGACATCCTCCTGTAATCACAGTGTTATCTACTTCGTCTTGATCAACTTCATCTGTAAGAATTACCACCGATGAAGAACCAGATGTCATTTCTTCAAAATCAGACAACACATTCATTGAATTCTGATTTTCTGTCTAAAACAAGATTTGTAATGATGAAAGGAGAGAGAGAGAGTGAGTAAGAGAGAGAAGACATTGTTGCCTGATGATAAATAATTTTATATATGTCTAAATCAAGTTCACTTTTAACGGTTTGAAAACATTTGGGCAGTGGGTGGTATATGATATTCATTATAATAAAGGTTTTCGTATTTCCCAATGAATGAAAAACAAAACGATATTGTTGCTCTTACTGACGTTTCGCTATTTAATGCTGCTAATAGCTTTATCAAAGCAGTATTATTAAACCGGAATTTACAAAATCTCAGCATATATATAACAAAGGGTTAAGAGGTGAGAAAATAGACTTCTAATTGTATCTATAAAATAAAATGCTTGGAATGTGATGCGATCTACATCGCACAAACATCGCCAAAGAGAAATCAAGGTAATCAGAAGAAATGAACACGGTAGAGCATCGCTTCAGCCACCGAGAAATCCAGTTGAACTAGAAAAACTTGAAAAATCATCAGCCATAGCTTGTCTACACGTTATAGAATCAGGCCACAAAATTGATTTTGACAATATTGAAATCATCATCCAAACAAACTTCAGAAATCACAAAGAACGTCTAATATCATCAGAAGCATCATCAAATGGAATCCAAATTGCCTGAACTGAATAGGAATGATGGACTAAAACAGAATCTGACCTGGTTACAACACCCCCAACCCCTCCCCCATGAAGTGACAAAATCAACACTGTCTGTCTGTCTGGATTCAACATAGAACTTCGCACCGAAGTGCACCAGTTCGAGTTGCCAACTTCCAAATAGCACACAGAGGTAGACAAGAAGATGAGTGGAGAGAATTAATAGAGTTTGACAAGTATGAGAGTGAAACAGAATGGGTAATGGTAGGAAGGAATATGAAAGATTACAGAGACTGAATACATCTGCGCCATTGACAACGATTTTGAGCCATGTCACCTATTGTCTCCAGCCATTGATTCCTAGAGTCCCGAGGACCCCAACCCGGGAGTCTGCATCTCCCTACCTGACTCAGTTTAACTGTCAAGGATTTCATGGATTGATGAGGCCATGTTTTTGTTTGGCCACCACTTACCCTTTTCCAACCTGAACCTATGTCAGCTAGCAATGCCCGTCGGGGGAGGCGGTGGTTAGGCATGCGCAGCACGTCACCTAGCCATCTTAGTCTACGTAACTTTATAGCCTCGTCGATTGATTTTCCCTCTTTGCCCAACACTCTACGCCTAACGTCAACATTACTTATCTTGTGAAACCACCTAACGTGAGACAGGGATCGCAGACATCTATGATCGAAAGCAGTTAACCTTTTCATGTCTTCATTGCGTATTGGCCATGTTTCAGAGCCATAGAGAAGGACGGAGCGAACTGATGAGCAGTACACACGTCCCTTGGTGGCACAGTGGTTAGGACTCTCGCCGACCATGCACATGGTCCGGGGTTCGAGCCCACGCCGGCGCACACCTGATATCTATGGTCGGCCTGCAAAATTTGGGCTACCGATATCCATGCTGAAAATTCCATACTTGTACCAAAAATACAGTGTGGAATCAAGCTGTAAATCAAAAAAAGAAATCAAAAAAAAAACCGGATGTCACGCCTACGCCAGAGATGGTGTAAGTCAGCGAAAGCAGCTCGAGCTTTTCGGATCCGTGCTGAGATTTCATCGCCAATCAGTCCGTTGGTGCTAATACAACTTCCCAAATAGGTGAAGTGGTCAACATGTTCTATCACTTCACTCCCTATCACTAAGTTAGGGGTTGACGTGGTCCAGTCCTGTAGCAGCATCTTACATTTTGCAGGGGCGAATCGCATGCCAAACATACGAAGATTGCTGCTCAAGGTGTTCAGAAGACTCTGCATTTTGTCAGCATCCTCCCCTAACAGGACTATGTCATCTGCATATTCTAAGTCCATTAGATTATTCCCTGGTAACAAGTCGATTCCTAAGTCACTACGTTCAGTTAAGGATACTTCCATTAGCATATCTATGATGAAGTTAAACAGAAATGGGGAAAGTGGACATTCCTGTCGGACACCACTGACAATTACAATATCAGATGACAATTCCCCATAAGCCCTTACACGACTACGTGAGTTTGAATAGAGTGCCTTGATTAGTGCAATGTACTTTCTTGGCACTCCCTTCACAGTCAGACATTGCCATAGTACCTTTCGATCCACGGAGTCGAAGGCCGCCTTCAAGTCAAGAAATATGACAATTGTTGGACGCCGAAAAGTGTGTCTATGTTCTAGAATCTGTCGAAGAGTGAAGATATGATCTATGCACCCTCTACCTGGTCTAAAGCCTGCTTGATTTTCCCTTGTCTGTTCCTCCCGAGTTCTGCTTAGTCTATGCATGATTACTGAGCCTAGGATTTTAGAGACTATGTTCGTTAGGCTGATCCCCCTATGATTATCACACGAGGACTTGTTTCCCTTCTTGAATATCGGTATAATAAGTGACTTACCCCAGTCTGATGGAACTGTCTCTGATTCCCAGACTTTGCCTAGTACCTCAGTTAATCTACAAACTAGTATGTCACCCCCATATTTAAACACCTCCGGAATAATTCCGTCGGGTCCTGCCGCTTTGCCTCGTTTCAAATTACTGATAGCTTTTGTAACCTCACCTACAGACGGCGGACCAGTGTCTATATCCCATTCGGGTACGTGGTGGATGGCGGGGAGGTTCAGTGTGGCTGTAGGCAAGTTAAATTGTTCCTCAAAGTGTTCTTTCCAGCGTTCAAGGCGTCTATCCTGAGAGCTAATTAAGGAGCCATTTTTCTCAGAAATAGTCTCACTTATGAATTGCCTTCTCCCACCCGATTCTGTGATGAGTCTAAAGAGTTGCCTAGTGTTGCCTATCGCCGATGCTTTTTCCATCTCTTTTGCCTTTGTCACCCACCACTGTTCACGGTCCTTGCGGAGACTTTTAGTAAGTTTCCTTTTGTGCAGCTTTCGCTCCTCATTGAATTCGGAGCTCGCCGGAATAAGTCTTCTAGCATCTATCAGTTCGGATGAGGCAGTCGAAATCCAGTGGTTTTTACTCACCTTTGGACAGTCTTAACATGAATGGCTAATTATAATGAAGTATCGATCCACATATACATAGCGAAATATAACAGACATGTCAACAATCACCATGTATGGATATATGTCACCAAGCAACGGACTGTCAACAAACACTCATATTATATATAATATAAGGAGAATACACATTATTAAAGGAGACAAGTTCATACAAGTGAAATGGTCACAGACTAAGCGAGCAGACAGAAAGAGAGACCAACATACACACACACATAAATATATATATATATATGTGAATACATATCAGGCATCGGCGAGTAGTGCAGTCCTTCCTCCTTCTTACTGACCCGTTCAGACGGACAGCACACATTCGGCTATCTACCGGGATCCAGTCAAGCAGTGCCTTTTCTGCCCTAGTACTCAAAGCTATCCCTACGCCAGCTAATCCTCGTGAACTAGCTGTGGCATCTCCTGACACCCTCCGGGTGAATTTTGCAGATTCAACCTGTTGGCCAGGTGGGGTTAGGTGAATAACCACACTTGGGTCTTGTATGCGTGTTTCTGAAACACAGCATACATCAATGGCTCGTGATGCCAGAGTCTTGGCTAGTGATGCCTGTTGTCCTATTTGGCAAAGTGTCCTAACATTAAGAGCTCCTATATGAAATTGGTGGCGCGGCTTTAAGAGGCTGTCGGTGGTGGTTTTTTGGCTTCCATCGTTTTTAGTGGACGCAGAGTGGAGAGGAAGTGGAGAGCTATCAAGTCGAGGAGTTGCATCAGTGGAAGGAAGGCAAGATGATAGAGATGAAGATGAAGACAAAGATAAGTGAGGATTAGAGAGGTTTTGTGTGCATTTCGGATTGTGAGGGCGTCTGTTACTTCCCGGCTGCCCACACCGTGGAAGTTGGTGGCGTGACGGCAGAACCCAGGGGACAACTGCTTGAGGCCGGTTACATGCGGCCTGTTTTTGTTTGTTCTCTTTTGTTTGATGTGCCTCAGTAGCATACTTATCACTCCTGCCCTGTGACACGGCAGCAGGAAGCGCGGTCGTTGTTAATCCGGGCCACGGCCGATCCGGCATGAAATTTTGTGATTTTGTATTGGACATGATGTTGGATTGGGTAGCTGCTTTTTGTTTAACCGCTATCCAAACAACCTGCCTGGCATGGTAGGACCTCAAGTTAGTAAACTTTGTTTTGATACCAGCCAGGGTGTAGATGTACTATTACCTTTGTTATGTGGTTTAGTGATATTCACTGTTATTTTGACTTTCTATATGTCCTTTTAACTTGACCTAAGTACTTTATTTTCTCACCTCTTAACCCTTTGTTATATATATGCTGAGATTTTGTAAATTCCGGTTTAATAATACTGCTTTGATAAAGCTGTTAGCAGCATTAAATAGCGAAACGTCAGTAAGAGCAACAATATCGTTTTGTTTTTCATTCATTGGGAAATACGAAAACCTTTATTATAATGAATAAATAATTTTACTTTCAAAAAATAATATTTATACGGAATAAAAACAACACACACACAACTATGCTCTAATAAATTATATATATATATATAATGTTCGCTGGTGACTTGCTACACAACAGTTTCCTAGAGTTCTGGTGACAAGTCGTGACCAGTGAGGTCAATCCAGTCAAGTGTGAGGATGGAGTTCCCACTGATGACCCTGGTTGGTGGTCGAGCTTAATTACGAATTGGTACAAGTTAGAATTCATGCATTGGCCATTAAATTGGGTCCCAGTTAGTGACTGAATGGTAAACGAGCCAGCTTATCTTGTAACCGGAAGGTCTTGGGTTCGAACCCTGGTGGTGGGTGCATACTGCCGATGATTCCTAAACATGGCTGATGAAACAGCTGTCCAGTACTCGCTGGTTATCAATAGTTCTCTAACTGACATCAATCCGTTGTCAAACTCGTATATACATATATATGTAAATAAAGTGTAACAGTAGATGGGAGACTTAGTAAAGGAATCTTTACTTGGAATTTGGTGTCACTATATAGCGAAATAATGAACACCTTATGTTCACCTACCTATATTACTTTTTAGAGAGTGGTGGGACAGACTCAGTTGCTAAGCTTTTTTCTAAATTACTTATCTTCGCTGGTGGGGTCAATCATTATAACCTTAGCTAAATTCTAATACTCTGACAGGTGCAATCTCACTACCCCCGATCTATTGGTCTGTTTAACCTATGTAGTTGACCTAACTCACAGTCATTGCAGGGTATTTTGTAAATTATATTATTTTGTTTAATTGGGTCGAACAGGTCTTTTAGTCAACATTGGTTGTCTCTGAGTGAGTCTGTAGGTTTGAATGCCACTCGAATTCCTGCTTTATTAAGAATTCTACGTAGAGTCTCAAATGGCAAAACTGCAGATGGCTTATATTCTCTCTTATTTATGTTAGTTATCATTATTAGTTTCCCCATTATTTTTACTTTGCTTTCGACTTTCTCTGAACTTCTCGATGAATTTTATAGGATAACTTCCTCTTCTCCTGTCTGTTTCATTTTATCACTTAGGTTTTTCTCCTACCTAGTAATGCTACTGCTCGGTTTGTTAGACACTTAACTAAGCCTGCCTTAGCAGTTGACGGATGAAATGAATTGAAGTCTAAATATCTATTAGCAGGATGCGTCGGTTTTTTATAAACACTAGTGTGTAGTTTGTCTTCTTCTATTAGTTTTATTTTACAATCTAACATCACAGCTAATTCTCCTTGTTCATTTTCCGACTCAAATGTGAATTTTATTCCCTCCAGTAGTGAGTTTATATGTGTCAAGAAGCTAGAGAGAGATATGTTCTGTTTTTAACACTGTGTGTGAAAGTGTCATCCTTATATCTCCACCATATTTTTGGAGTAGGATTAGGTGAACGTATTAAGAGCCATATTTTCCCAGCTGTCCATAAACATGTTTGCTACGATAGGGGATATTGGTGATCCATCCCATTGCTACACCTTCTCTTTGTCCATATGTATTTTGCCCTGGAATTTAAAGACAGTGGATGTGAGGCAGCACATAATTGAATGCTTAAAATAATTCCCTCAATGAGTGCCTTTATCCTATGAGTAAGTTCAGGATTGGTAGTTATTTCCTTTTTTAAATGCTTCCAAGGCGGCCGTATTGTTCGGTATATTAGTATACAGACTAGTAATATCAAAACTAACCCATTTTTCACTATTCTCGGATTGAATGTCAGTTAGTTTCCTTTTTATCATCTCATATGAATTAGTCAGCTGGCCTAGAGTTTGGAGTATGTCAAATGGGACATAATATTAGAGTTAAGTGTTCAATGAATTCGTAAGTAGGGGTATTCATGAAATCGATTATCGGCTGTATGGGGTAACCTGCTTATGTATTTCAGTAGTGACATATATATTCCTACCAGCAGATCAAGACATGAAAATTAGTGGAATTATATAACCAAAGTTAGAATGTTGTGAGAGTAACTCAATGTGATAACACGATGAGCAATGAATGATAAATTGTCCTCGAAACGTCGTCATCAGCAAATATTACCTCGTATAACACCACTGTGAGACTTTAGAAATAGAAAATAGAAAATTGTATCCGCAATGGAATTATACACACTCTACCGCAGTGCACAAGTTCTATCCTTATATCAATAAAGGCTATCGTTACCCCGGCATTTATACGGAAATTAAGCAGAACACACTGATAATAATAACAATAAACCCAATAATCATTATGCCACTTACCGATGACGTCGTCAACGTGTCTAGTCTAGCCTCTTCTGTCTCAATTTTACCAGTTAATAGCCTTCTCTCGGTATTGTGAGCGTCAGTCATCAACACAGGCAAATCAATAATAGGCTCATTTGTTGATTTTTTACAGCTTCGCTTTTTTCTGCGTTTTTTCCCGCCGACACTACCGTCAACGGATGTTCCAGCTTTAGAGTTAATATCTTCGTCTGAAGTATTACCCCCACTAGGACCACCGCCAGACACAGAAGGAAGCTTAGTACTTCTGAGAGTAGTAACGCTTGCAGTTGCTGCAGCGGTACATTCACCCCCACCATCACTACTACCGGTGATTTCAGTAAATAGTTTTTCATTTGTTTTTATGACTGATTCATCATTTTCCACTGTGGTATGCTCATCACTATCCAAGGTATCTACAAAAACAATAACAAAGAAAGCAAAATAAAACCAACAAAAAAGGATCATTATATTAGAATTTTCCCGTAGCTCTTTCGTGGCTTTGAAATACTGGGAATTTAAAATAATTTTACGCCGTCTCTGAAGTAGACATGATATCCGGGTGACTATCGACCAAAGAGCGGGTGTACTCCTCAGCACTCCGCTCCATCCTCCCTTATGGATGGCTGTGAGACCTGGCCATTGAGAGTGGAAGACATGAAAAGATTGGCTAGCTTTCTTTGATTATAGGTGCCTGCGGTCTATCCCCCGTGTGAAGTGGTATAATAAGGCGACCAATATTAAGGTTAGGCATCAGTCGGTCGAGTGCTAGGTAAGGAGGGGAAATCAATCGACAATGAGGCTGTGAAATTACATTGACTGAGATGGTTATGACATGTGTTACGCATGCATGATTAGTCATCGCCTTCCTCGATGAAGAGCAATGTTAGCTGACATAGGATTGGTCAGGCTGGAGAAGAGCCACTGGTGGTCAAACCAAAACATGGCCTCGCCAGTCAATGAAATCCACAACAGTTAGTTTAAGCCAGCCAGTCACGTAGAAAGGTGTAGACTTCCTGATTGATTGGAAAACCTGGGAGTACTGGTCTAGAGCTACGTACTGGGACCGAACTTCTTGTGGCGGGTGCGTACTGTGAAGAATCACAAACTAGAGCGAAACAGCTTGTCTAGTACTCTCAGGTGGTTTTTGAATGGTTTTCTAACTGACATCAGTGCTCATGTTGAAATCCTCCAACCAATCAAACAAAATCCCCACAAAAACCAATACTTGAAAATATTACCGGATTAATTTAACCTTCTAGAATCTTCTTGTTGGTCAACGCAGCGTATTCCTGCCTTCTTACTGGCTCACTCACTCAGTCACTGCCAACAGACAGTCTGACGCATAATCCAGTTGACCACACTTAAGAATATCATCGTTGGTGATATTAGGCAGCTTGTCTTACTCCTGTTTTCACTCTTTCGAAGGGCGTAGAAGTTTGGAAAGTTTTCTGTCGTTTCCTCATTGTAGTTGGTGTAGATTCGAATTACTCATCACTTGTATTGAAAAATGCGCTTGAACCGACAGATAGATGGATGGATAGGTAGATATTCTGTCATTTTTGCTACTATTATTATTCAAATTAGTTCACTGGTTAGTAAAATCTCTTCATTGAAAAGTGTCACCTCAAATTTTAGACAGTTTTCTGATCCTTTTTGTAGTCACTTTTATTCATAATGACGACTCCAGAACCTTTATCAGGTTTTGTAATAATTATATTAGAATTTTTCATTCAAGGCTTTGTGAAATGCTGGGAATTTAAAATACTTTTCTCCTTAGGGTTGTTGTTTTTGAGAACTGGTGAGCTATGTCCACCATCTTGACGCCTTAAACAACCAACGCCGATATTCATCGGATGTTTTCGGCAAGAGGTTTGAGTTGGTCGGTCAGGTAAGTTTCCAAACTCAGCATGCATGGCTAAATCCGTAAATTGCGTGCGAAGAACACAAAATTTGAGTCCAAGGGATAAAGCTTCTCTCTGATGAGTAGATAGAGTAATATCAGAAACATTCACCGGGAAAACATCCACCCGGTTTCGATCATCAACTGAACTCTTCTTTTGTATATTCGTCTTTGTTGTCTTAGTAACATCTTTACGAAACTGAAGAAATTTCATGTGGCATATTATTGATAATTCAGATAAAATAAGTGACGCATCGATATGAAGAACAAGTAGTCCTTGTAACGTTTGTCTAACATTTTCCGTATGCGACTTTCTAAGACGATGAAGATTAGAGATATTTGGTTGTAATTCATATGACCAACTCAAACCTCTTGCCGCAACATCAGATGGAGATCAGAGTTGGTTGGCTTAAGCCGCCAAGATGGTGCATATAGCTCACCAGTTTTTAAACAACAACCCAAAGGAGAAAAGTATTTTCTGTCTGTCTGTTTTCGACATAGAACTTTGCACCGATGTGCACCAGTTCAAGTCGCCACACTCCCTCCTTGTAGCGCACAAAGCAAGAAAAGAAATGCAAAATAGAGACAGTAGACAGGGATATGAGACAAACAAGTAGTAATAACGAAGAACAACATAGTCTCATGGGAAATCATAAGTCACAAGGTGTGGATGCATCTGCGCCAACCATCGCCGAGAACGATTTTGAGCCATATCACCCATTGTTTCCAGACATTGGTTATTACCGTCTCGAAGACCCCAACCAGGAAGTCTACACCTTTCTACGTGACTGGCTGGCTTAAACTAACTGTTGTGGATTTCATTGACTGGCGAGGCCATGTTTTGGTTTGACCACCAGTGGCTCTTCTCCAGCCTGACCAATCCTATATCAGCTAACATTGCTCTTCGTCGAGGAAGGCGATGACTAATCATGCATGCGTAACACATGTCATAACCATCTCAGTCAATGTAATTTCACAGCCTCATTGTCGATTGATTTCCCCTCCTTACCTAGCACTCGACCGACTGATGCCTAACCTTAATATTGGTCGCCTTATTATACCACTTCACACGGGGGATAGACCGCAGGCACCTATAATCAAAGAAAGCTAGCCAATCTTTTCATGTCTTCCACTCTCAATGGCCAGGTCTCACAGCCATCCATAAGGGAGGACGGAGCGGAGTGCTGAGGAGTACACCCGCTCTTTGGTCGATAGCCAGCCGTATATTATCTGCATATTCTAAGACAACGAGATTATTCCTTCCCTGGTAGCAAGTCAATCCCTGAGTCTCTGAAGTGAGTTATGGTTAAGTCCATTTGTACACCTATGATGAAATTGAATAGAAATGGGGATAATGGGCATTCCTGACGGATACTACTATTTGTCACCACTTCAGATGACAACTCGCCGTAATCCCTCGCCTGACAGATGGTATGAGTTCGTGTAGGGTGAGTGACTTGATCAGTGCAATGTATTTTCTAGGCATTCACTTGACAGCCAGCCAAGCATCACCAGAGAAATTCTCGGTCGATAGAATCGAATGACGACCGCCTTTAGGTCAAGAAATATAACGACTGTTACTACTAGTTTGATACATGTAATATCAGCCTTCAAATGAATTTAAGGCGTGGAATGATGCGTGACACTGTTTGATTCACATCTTCATCATACAGAAAATCATTACAAAGCACTACACATAGAGTTTATAGCATGTTTGGTGGAAACAGTCATTATTTGATGTGTGAGTTGTGTTGTGCTGACAATATACTCAATAAACAGTAGGAAATAAGACATGTCTACTGGTCCATTTCTGATCAGAGGTGTGTGTGTGTGTGTGTTCTATCCCCTCCCACTCTCCGCCTTAGATAATCTAATAGTTTGAGTAATATTGAAGTTAGGTGTCGACTGATAGGTAAGGAGGAGAGAAAATCCAACAGATGAAGTTGTGAACCTACTTCGTTTGTGAGATGGCTACACGCCTGCATTACTGCTAACAGTCGCCTTCTTCGACACGTAATGTTACCTCACACAGAATCAGGTTGGGAAGGAGTTAGTAGTGGCCGTTCCTTCTTTCACCTTCACATTTCTGGCAATTATCGTCTTTTTGAAACTTTTTCTATCCCGCTCTTCTTTGTCTTCCTCTCTGTATGCGGCACATGCAGTGTGGTGATTCGAGGAGCCGCATTCCTGTGCAAAGTTCCATGTTGACATCGGTCGTCAGTTAGGCAGTCAATACGATCTTCAAGAGAGACGTGAGGATTTTTGGTTTTACACCTGATAAATTTGTGAGTCGCTAGTTCAAAGCAAAAACACACTATTATCACCAATGGACCATAAACGTGACAATCAGTTGCACTTCCTAAATTTCAACATAAAAAAGGAGAAATGACGGGACATTCAAAAATCCATCTACAGAAAAGAAAATTGAAATGGTCAATACTTGACATATCACAGTTTTTGCCCATATGACTAGAGACGGAGCCTGGTGATGAAAACGTTCTTCAACAGACACAGGAAGTTGAGTTCATAAGATAAGATCGAAGAGGAACTCCCGGTCATAGAAAGGGAACCTTATCAAAAATGGATATCCTCCGATGTTCATGTCAAAATATGGGAAAGAGACCACGTAGACTGAAATAGTTGAAAAGAAACCAGTTTCCATCTGTCTAGCTTAAAAAGGCGAAGAAGTATCCATAGGAACGAAAAACACAATTAAAGGGGTATTGAAAAGAACACTTCCCGACGCCAAGCTAATTTCACTTTACAACACAGTATGCTCATTCACCCAGTCAAAAGTAGATAAGTGTCCTACTCCGTATGTCAATTCCAACTGCATTTACCAATTCAACTGCAAGTGCAGCAACATGTAAATAGGAAAGGCAGAGAAGAAGAGTATCTACTAGATTCTACAAGCATATCCCCAAGAGTCTCCGCGACACGGGACATACACATTGAAAATAAGCCTGCAATACACAAAGAAAAGCATCGCTACTTCGGTTCACAGAAGCCACCGCCATCACAAAGACTTCCACCCAACCTATGCATGCAAAAAGATAGTCTCACTAATCTCTCACTACCCTACCCTACCCTACCTAATAACCATAATTGTTTCATTCGTATGCTTCTGTGGTTTGTTTTGCTCTGTTGCACAGCTTTTCACTCAATTTTCAGTTTGATTTTCACTTACTCTCTCACTGAGTTGAACTCACTACTAAATTCCAAAATCTACTAAATTACATTATTTCACCTAGTTTGTAAGTTTAACTCATTATGCGCCCACACCCACACCCACCCTCGTCAACACTCTACCATCATACGTGCAAATTCACTCTCTTGTTCTGTCATGTTATTTTTGTCTCTAGACCATCCTTGTTTTCAAGAGAAATCTGACATATGCCCTCTGTCCTCGTCTCATTACTATATAAATAGTTACAAACACTAAATAATTGTCTGCTTACATCATCTTTGAAATTATGCTACCTGTACCTTCTATCTATAACACTTGAGGTCATT